TGGGAACACACACATCCTCTACTTGTTTTCTGGGCACCTGCTGAGACCCAGGGGGCTTCTGGCCCATCTGTGCTGTTCTTGGAGCTAGTGTGGCTCAGCCCCACCCACACCCCAGGCAACAGGCTCAAGGGTCCTGTCTGTCTTTGGGTGCCACCCAGACCTGACAGTGCTTGGTGGGACCACCTCTGTTTTAGTCCTTTCAGCTTTCTCTGTGAAGTGGAGGGAGTCAAGCACACTCCTCCCCAGTTGCTATGGTTTCCACATAGCGGTGTTTTAATTTTAGCACTGACATTTTCAAGGCGGATTTAGAGATACTGGCCGCATTCTTAGTGGGCTGCAGGAGGAGGAGACAGTGGTCATCTCCCTTCCCAAGCTGCTGCCAGAATGGGTGGTGGGGTCACTACCATTCTGAATGGCTCACTAGTGCCACACACTGTTGCCTCCCAGGATGAAGGAAAGGCATCTGAAGCGGGTAGGACAGGATGGATGGGGGCGTGGCACTGCTGGCAGGAGTGACTTAGAACAGCAGAGGTGACAGGTCTCAAATCCAGGAGTCAGTGGCCGTGAGGGAGCTTTCCTGCCTCCTAGTTTCTACTGGCTTCCGGGATCTCTGGTGTTTACTCTATCTGCAGTGGCTTTTCTTTGTGTCTCACTCAGAATTCTCTGTTCCTGTAAGGGCATTAGAGCCCATTTTGGATATGAGCTCCAAAAAGCTCATGTATTGAAACCTGGTCCCTGATGCAAGAGGTGGGGCTTTGGGGAAGTGACTGGTCCTGAGGGCTCTGCCCTCATCAGTGAGTTAGTTCATTGATGGATACAGACCTGGAATAGAAGTGCGTGCGTGTGTGTGTGTGTGTGTGTGTGTGTGTGTGTGTGTGTGTGTGTGTGTGTGTTGGGGGAGCATCTGGAGCAGCAGGTCACTGGCTGTGTGACTCTGAAGGGTCTGTCTTTCCCTCATCCCTTCCTGTCTTCTCTCTACTTTGTAGGCCACAGTTCTTGACACACAGGAGGGAAGATTGGGTCCGGCTCCTGGTTTCTTTCCTTCAGTCCATGTTGGTGGGGAAAGCAAAGCACTTATTAGTGGTGGGAGGGAGCATGCAAAGGAGGCTGTTCATATCATGGTGGCCCAGGAAGCAGAGAGTGAGGCAGAACCAGGCCTACCCCTGGTTCTGCCAAGGCCGTCCACCCCATTCTCAGAATCTCCCAAACTACTGCTCTCCGCTGGGGAGCAGCGTCTAAAGCATGGGCCTGCTGAGGACATTTCATCCCCACTGTGACAGGTGAGCAGCCTCTGCGGGCTGCTCCACCCACATGGTGCTCTGCCACAACTTGGCCTCTAAGCCTTGGCTCCTGATGTCCCTGGACTCAAACCTCTGGAGCCATAGGCTGAAATGCATCTGCCCTGTTTTTAAATTGGTTCAGGTATTTCTCACAAAGTTTGGCCACAAGCAGTACGGGTTAATTAATACCTTGGAAGGTCTAATTTCAAAGACAGCCACTTTCCTAATTACTAGGTGGGGCTTGGGCATAGAAGTAAACTAGGTTCACCGCAGGTTATGGGTTCCATGCAGGCCTCTGGCCTGGGGTCTATCTACCTTAGAAAGATTCCAAGGAGTTTGTGACCAGGTGTAGTCAGGACAGGTGTGGCCAGAATGCCTGCTGTGAGGCTGTGGGTAAGAATGGCTCCCCCTTGGCTGGAGAGATGGCTCAGAGGTTAAGAGCACTGGCTTTTCTTCCAGAGGACCCAGGTTCAATTCCTAGCACCCACATGGCAGTTCACAGCTGTGTATATAACTCCAGTTCTGGGGGATCTGACACCCTCACACAGACATACATACAGGCAAAACACCAATTTACATAAAATAAGAATAAATAATTCCTTTAAAAATGTTAAAAAAAAAAAAAAAAAAGGGCGGGGGACTGAAGAGATGGCTCAGAGGTTAAGAGCACTGGCTGCGCTTTCAGAGGTCCTGAGTTCAATTCCCAGCAACCACATGGTGGCTCTCAACCATCTGTAGTGAGATCTGGTGCCCTCTTCTGGCCTGCAGGCATACATGCAGGCAGAACACTGTGTATGTAATAAATAATTTTTTAAAAAAAGTTAAAAAAAAATAGCTCCCCATTCCCCTGGGGTGATGGCACATTCCTTTAATCCCAGCACTCTGGAGGCAGAGGCAGATGGATCTCTTGAATTCAAGGCCAGCCTGGTCTACAGAGTGAGTTTCAGGACAGCCAGGGCTATACAGAGAAACCCTGTCTTGAAAAACAAAAAAGCAAAAACCAAAACAACAAAAAAGAATGGCTTCCTCGACCTTGGTCCTTCTCACTTACTCTGATGCCTGCTTTTTGCTTTAGAACAGCATTCTCCTGCCTCACATCTGCCCCCTGGACTGCAGGGAAGGTGGGCTGCACACTGAGAATACATCTGTAGAGTGCTCCAGGAATGCCTGGGCCCTGGCCAGTTCACAAGTGAGGAGGAAATGGCCAAGGATGCCAGGAGAAGTTATTTGTTAGGCTGTTAGGCTGATGTGATTTCAAACTGAAACCAAATCCCCATCCAGTTGACATTTCCTTCTCCGGGGGCAACCGAAGCTCCTGGTTGGTCACTCTCCAGTGTGCTTCCAATTCAGATTGTCCCCATTATTATTATTCATTCTTTCTGAGACAAGGTCTTGCTATGTTGCCCAGGCTAGCCTTGAGCTAATGTTAATTCTCCTGCCTCAGCTTCCTGAGAGCTGGGATTACAGATGTGAGCCACTGTGTCTGGCTTTGTACCCATCATTCTTTTTTAAATTATTGTTGTGGGTATGGAGAAATGATGTAGCAGTTGAGAGCACTTGCTGCTCTTCCAGAGGATGTGAGTTCAATTCTCAGCACCTACATTGGGTGGTTTACAACCATCTATAACAGCTCTAGGGGATCTGACACCCACTTCTGGCCTTCAGAGATACCTGCACGCATGTGGCATACACTCATAGAGACACATAAGTACAAATAAATCTTTAAATTATTGTGCGTGTACACATACATGCATAAATAGCTTTTTATCAGCTATATGTGTGTAGTCATTTGTAGGGAAACTTGCTAAGTCTGACTCCCTCTGCTTAGCATCCACCAACTGCCACTACCGCCTTCAGCTAGGCGTGGGGATCATCACCCCTGCCCAGGTCTCCCCTTGGCTGCGGCGCTGACTGGCTTGATCTTGTGATGCAGGTCTGGCAGGCACCTGAGGCTGCTGTGAGTCCCAGCATGTCTGGATGACATTGCTTTGTCCAGTCTTCCTCAACCCCTGCGTCTTACAGCCTCTCCCTGCCTCTTCTATGATGCTCCTTGAGCATTTGGGAGAAGGACTATGATGCAGCTGTTCCAAGTTTGGCTAATTTTGGCCAGACACTAATTTTTTGTACTTTGATTATTTAGGAGCTTCTGAGAAAAACTCAAATGAAGGTTCTAAAAGCTACCTTCCTAGTCTGGGACTCCGTGTGCATGTTTGTGCACGCTAAACCTCACGTTACCATGACGGTGTGTGTGTAGCCACCCTGTGGCTTCTCACCCTGGTGTCAGGCAGGATTGGTTGCTGTATACCGTTTTGCTTGGTGAAGGAGTGACTTTGAAGGTGGGTGGCATCAAAAGTGTTTGCACATACTGCTTAACATGTGCTGGGTGCCAGCTGTGCACAGTCACCTGGCTGAGCCGCATGGCCCTGGCATGCTTCCAGGCTCTTTGTCTCCCTGTTGTCAGCTGAGGCATCACTGCTGTGACATCTGTCCATTTTACAGGTGAAGAGTCGAAGGAATGATTAATCCAGTTAAGTCATTGATTGGCAACTTGTCCTAGATACCCAGAGCTCAGAGCTGGGGCCAGACCTGCTCTCTTAAGAGTCTTCACTTGCTGTAAGAAGACTTGGCAGCTCTCGGCCTGAGCATGCTGGTCTGGGACCTTACTCAACAGGAGTGAACCACAGACAGTGTTAGACACATAGGCATGCACCCATTACCTGTCACCTGAGAAGGGACATGTTATGAGTGACATGGGTATCTGGGATGTGGCCAGTGCTGCCGGGGCAGCTTGTGGTAGTACCAAACTGACTTGTTGAGAGCCCTAAGGTTTTGTGTAGCCTGAGTGGCTAGCTGCCCACAGGAAGTACAAAGTCTCTCTTCTGGAAGAATGAGCTAGTGTTTCTATTCTCCTGGCCCTGAGAGCTCTCAGCTCCCAGCTCCCAACCTAGGGTCCTTGGTACTACCTTGCACCTCTTGAGGATCTCCCTACTCGTGGGCAAGCGAGAAAAACAGTGGGCCTGTGAGTGTTTAGTCTAGAGATCTTTTTTTTTTTCGAGACAGGGTAGCTTTGGTGCCTGTCCTGGATCTCGCTCTGTAGACCAGGCTGGCCTCAAACTCACAGAGATCCGCCTGCCTCTGCTTCCTGAGTGCTGGGATTAAAGGCATGTGCCACCACCGCCCGGCAGTCTAGAGATCTTGAAGCTGTGGCCTATACCTCATTTTCAGAACAGCTGCAGCTACCCTCTGCTCTGGGTCTCCTGATAAGTTCTGCTCTGGGATTTGTTCCTGGGGCTCAGTCTGCCTTTTGTGCTTGCTCAGCTCAGCTGTAATCAGAGCTCTGGCCCATGGTGGCCTGACACATAGGCTCTGAGGGACTTCAGCAGCTCAGCCACCTCCTTGCCTAGTGGTCTTGGGAAAACTGCTGCTGTCAGTCCTTTGAGGACAGGTGGGCTTCTCCCTATGGGCACCTGTGGCCTCAGGAAGGGAAAGTCCTCTGTTTGCCTTCTATCCTCTAGAAAGAGGACTGTGAAGCCCTTCCGTGCCTGTTAGATTAGCCTTGACGGACACACTATATTGAGGGAGAGCCAAGATGTATGGGAAGTTCTTGTCCTTCCTGTGGGAGCCAGCCAGCCTGCTGGGGCTCTTGCTTCTCTCCCCAGGGGTCACTGTCATAGTAGTGTCCTCTTGAAAGGCTTATCTCATTTCTCTTACCTGCTGTAGGATCATGCGGCCAGATGATGCCAACGTGGCTGGCAATGTTCATGGAGGGACCATTTTGAAGATGATTGAGGAGGCAGGGGTCATCATCAGCACCCGGCACTGTAATAGCCAGAATGGGGTAAGTGCCTGGGCCCTTGTTCTTATATACTGGGATTACCCATAAGATTCTGGACTCCATAGCGCTATAACAAGTGTGGGGGTCTGGAAAGCAGATCACGTGGAGGCCAGATCTGTAGCATACTTGCCTTGCCTGCTAGGTCTAGGTCTCTGGAGGCTCTGGCGTGGTGAGCCCTGCTTGGGGCCCCAGGGAATAAGGTTTGGCTTTGGCTTCATTGTGGAGGTGGGAAATCAGCAGAGACAAAGCTGCTAGACAGCTGAAGGGCCCTCTCACCATGCTGGATCCTTCAGGAGCTGTGGCTCGCACAGGGCCCCGTCTTGAGCCTTGCTAGCTCCTTGGTTGTGGTCAGAAATATGGTATGAAATGTGGTGTGGATGTGCTATCATATTTAAGAACTGATGTGTGGGTGACAGGCTGCCTGAGTCCCTTTCTGTCCCTGACTGAAGTCTGGTGCTTGTGGGCAAGGGCTTGGCTTTCTGTGTTTCTGCATCGTGCTGGGGCCAGTGTGTCACTTACTCAGGAACTGTGCAGTGGGAGGTGTCTCTGCAGCTATTTGGGGGCCTGTAGGACAGGCTCTCTGGGTTTAGAACCTCAGGGTCTCTGTAGGCTGTCATAAAATGACAGCCAGAAGGACCTGACATTTTTTTCTGAAGGCCAGCCAGTGACAGATAATCCGCCTTGACAGCTGCATGTTGTGATAGGTGCAGAGATGGGCCTGCAGGTAGTCTGCAGTGCACAGAGGTGGGTCTGCAGGTAGTCTGCAGTGCACAGAGGTAGGCCTGCAGATAGTCTGCAGTGCACAGAGGTGGGCCTGCGGGGTGTCTGCAGTGCACAGAGGTGGGCCTGCAGAGAGTCTGCAGTGCACAGAGGTGGGCCTGCAGGTAGTCTGCAGTGCACAGAGGTAGGCCTGCAGAGAGTCTACAGTGCACAGAGGTGGGCCTGCAGGTAGTCTGCAGTGCACAGAGGTGGGCCTGCAGAGAGTCTGCAGTGCACAGAGGTGGGCCTGCCGGGGGGGGGGGGGGGGGCTGTCTGCACAACCTCTGTGGACTGTGGGTTTCAGCTAGTGCCCTGGGCAGAGAGGAGGAAGACCCCACCTCACTTAAAGAAAAGTGGGTAGATACACAGGACCCCTCTATTAGCTGATGTGAACATAGGGTCTATTCAAGCCAGGGAACCCAGAGAGGCACCATGTATTTTGACCTGGCCAAGCTGGCAAGCTGGAATAAGAGACGTGCTGGCCTGCCTGTGCAGCCTGCCATAACAAGGCACAGATGCCTCATGCTGCACTTTGTTTATTGTACTCCATATATATTGTCCTTTCTTCAAATGAAGGCCTGTGGCAAACTTGCATTGAATAAATCCATTGATGCTATTTTAGCGGGAATGTCCTGGCGTAGGTATGTGTCTGTGGCACGTTTGATAATTCTTCAATTGTTCACATTCTTTGATAACCACATCTGCTATGAGGATTTATGCGCAGTGGTCCCCCCACCCCCACCTTGCTCCCAAGCACCCAGTACTGATGAAACCTTGGTGTTTTGTTGCTGTGTTTAAGATTTTTAAATTTTAAAAAAATGTATATATGTGTGCCTATGTCTTGATATGTATACATGAGTGCAGGAACCATGGAAGGCAGAAGAGAGTGTCAGGTGCCCTGGAGCTGGAGTCGTAGGCAGTTGTGAGCTGCCTAACATGAGTTCTGGGAACAGGATTCTGGTCTTCTGTACAAGCAGAACATGCTCCTAACCATCTCTCCAGCCCCAGTACCTGGGTCTTGTGTACCCAGGTCTTAGGCAAGTGAGTGATACTGCAATTCTGATCAGTTATTACTATGGTAATTGTTTTAGGGTGTTGGGAACTGTTCTCATCGAGGTCAGTCCTGCTGGTTCCCTTTTCTCTCTCCCTCTGTGGGTCTCTTCATTCCTTGAGACACAACATGATTGAACCTAATTCTATAGTCACCTCTCAGTACTCAGCCAAAGGGAAGAGTTTTGTGACTCTCACTTTAGTAATGTTTTGGTTTTTGAGATAGGGTCTTACGTAGAGCTTGGGCTGGCCTGAATTTCCCATGTAGCCAGTGATGAATTTGAACTTTCAGTATTTTTTACAGTTATTTATTGGCGAGGGGAAGTGTGTACTGTGGACAACTTGGAGGAGTGAGTTCTCTTTCTTCACTGTGTAGTTCCAGAGAATGAACTTAGGTCACTGGGTTTGTTAGCAAGCATCTCTACTGGCTAAGGCCTCTTGCTGGCCTGACTTTGAACTTCTGATCTTCCTGTCTTCACTTTCTAAGTGTTGGGATTGTGGGTATGCACCTGGAGGCTCTGGCACAGTGAACCCTGCTTGGGGCCCCAGGGAATAAGGTTTGGCTTTGGCCTCAGTGTGGAGGGTGGGAAATCAGCAGAGACAAAGCTGCTAGACAGCTGAAGGGCCCTCTCACCACACTGGATCCTTCAGGAGCTGTGGCTCGCACAGGGCCCCGCCTTGAGCCTGTGGTCAGGTGAGCCCTAGCCTCAGGTCAGAATAATGGTGCCTGTCTGGGGGTTCCCTGTCCTGAATAGACCCTGTGTTCACATTAGCCCACAGAGGGGTCCTGTGTATCTACCCACTTCCTTTAAGAGAGGTGGGAATCTTCTTCCTCTCTGCCCAGGCACTAGTTGGATGTAGTTATGTATCACCATGTCTGGTGTATGTGGTGCTGAATACTAACCCCAGGGCCTCATGCATACTGGGCAAACACCCTACCAGTTCCTAAAACCCTACATGGTTTTTTGTTTGTTTGTTTTTTTGAGACAGGGTTTCTCTGTGTAGTCCTTGCTGTCCTGAAACTCGCTCTGTAGACCAGTCTGACCTTGAACTCAGAGATCCACCTGCCTCTGCCTCCAGAGTGCTGGGATTGAAGGGGTGCGTCACCACCACCCAGCTTCCAGTGACTTTCATTAGATATCAAACATTAGAAATGGGGAAGCTTTATGAGGAAGGAGCATCAAAAGCTGAGACAGACTAAGGCCGAGCCAATCTGTGAGCTAGAGGAAGGATTCTTGGCAGGCTTTAGAACTATTGCTCCAGTGAACATGGGATGATAAGAAAGACAGCAGCTTGATGGTTGATGCGCAGGAAATTTCCTGGTCTGGAGATAAGATCAAGCTAGCCACAGCAGTCAAAGCGTTGTCCAGAGCCAGGCCTGCCCCGACTCTCTTTAGTTCCCTCCAGGTTGAGGGAGCAGAGTCAGCAGAGGCTACTGCAGAAGGGCGGTTGGAGGCTGCTGTGAGACCTAAGAGAGGACACATTGCTGCGACATAGGTGAAGCAACAGGTGCCACTGGTGACGCCTCATCGAGTCACCCAGAGGGTCTAGAGCAGGGTTCTCAATCTGTAGGTCTTGACTCTTTTAGGGGTCAAATGATCCTTTTATAGGGCTTGCCCAAGACCATTGGAAAACACAGATATTTACATTATAGTTCATAACAGTAGCAAAATTACAGTTATGAAGTAGCAATGAAAATAATTTGGTTTTTTTAAAAATAAAATATTTGAGGGTTGGGGATCACCACAACGATAGAATAATTGGGGTCACCACAACATGAGAAACTGTATTAAAGGGTTACAGCATTAGGAAGGTTGAGAGCCACTGGTCTAGAGACCTCTGGTAGCAAGTGGCCCCAGCAGATAGCAGACTTATGGTGTAGATGAAACAGCCTTCTACTGGACAATGGCATCTGGGACTTTGACAGCTGGAGAGGAGAAGCCAGTGCGTGACTTCAAAGTGTTACAGCACGGGTGGCCTCTCCTGTGAGGGCTGAGGCAGCTGGTGACTTTAAGGGGAAGCCAGTACTCCCTGACCATTCCAGAACCCCAGGGCTCCTAAGAATGAGTGTTCTAAGTCCATTCTGCCTGTGCTCTCTGAAGGCAGCAAAGCTTGGGTGACCACACACCTGTTTCCTGAGTGGACTGCTAAATACTGTAAGCGTACTGTTGAGACCTGCTGCTCTCAGAAAGAGATTTAAAACAACCCTGGCCTACCATCTTAGCTACTTGTGAGGCTGAAGCAGGGGTGAGTTCAAGGCCAGCCTAGATAATTCTGTGATATAGCATCTCAAAATAAAAATGAAAAAGAAGACCTGGGCCATAGTGTAGTGGTAGAGTGTTTACTTAGAATGTGAGAGGCCCTAGGTTCAATGCTCAATACTGCATAAAACAAACAAAACTGCTTTTCATTGGCCATGTACCTGGCTACCCAGGAGCTCTGATGAGTGTGACTGTACATCTGCTGACGGTGGGTCAAGGGGTATTTCCAGCTCTCAGGTGCCACCTGAGAAGCATATTTCAGTATCTGTGTCTGCCACAGTGATTTGTCTGATGGATCTGGACACTATAAACTGGAAAATTGGAGAAGACTGAGTCTTCATTGTTGGTGGGACGAGGGTACAGCATTGGAGTGAACAGGGGTCTGGAAGCGGTGGAATTCGCCATCTTGGATGACTTAGGGATAGAGACTTCTGTGGAGGAAGAGCCTGTACGTGTGATACGAACAGCACGAGAAACTGAGTTGGAAGTAGCATCTGAGGATGCCACCTCAGGGCCACATTTAAGGCGGAGGAGTTGACCCTGTGGATACACAAAGCCAGTGTATGTCTCCATGAGTGGGATTCTCCTGGTGATGATACCAGGAACAGGGCTGTATCACCATGAGTTTGGATGTCACAGAAACTGAGCAGCGTGATGGCAATTTTGGGCGGTTGAGCCCAGACTTGAAACTTTTGCTGTGGGTGTTATTTGATTAGAGAAGGGCGGTTCTACCTCAAGCTTCATTATCATACTTGAAGAGAGTCTTCAGTACTTACCATCCTGGCTAGCCAGCAGCCATCCACATGGAGGCAAGACCCATCAATAAGTTAGAACTTGCTGAAGGCTTAGGTAATGGCTAACAGATTTTCAAGGCAGTACCAGACTTTTGAACCAGGGTCTTGCTGTGTAAGTGTTCCTGGAGTAAGGCTAGTT